GCTCAGTCAGATGGTGTAGCAACAAATATTCTTCTGTATGTTTTCAATAGAATTTAATCAATTAACAGAAATATTTTTTTCATTGATCAGCCTCTGAATTGATTAGATATGTTGCATCCAGAGATATTGGATATGTCTTTGCTGTTTTTTTTACCAACTGAATTTCTTCAGAATATTTTGGATGTTTTTTTTTTTTTGTTTTTTTTAAGTTTCTAAGTCCCTAAGTCCTCAATAGACCAAATCCATTTTGACATCAATATTGATGCTCTAGGGTACGTAAAAATTTCAACAAGTTTACATAACTCCAGTGAGTGCATTTAAATCATATTTATTAAAATACTGAATGGCACTGTAATAAACCTGTTCTGTTATGCTCTCCCCCTTCTTGTGGTCCCTCCTGTCTCCACTCAGCCAATCAAATAGTCCTTCAGTGCTGGGCTTATGACCCACACCAGTTTCTATAGCAACGCCAGTCTGCCTCCTGGAGAACATGTCATGCATGTTAAGTGACTCTGAGATGCTCGCTCGTTGTCTCTTGCTCACAGTCAAACACAGACTGTGTTAGATACACAAACACACACAGAGAAAAGTGACAACAGAGTCAAACTTAGTGACTCAAGGTTTTTTAATAAATGGATTTCTTTTTTTTATGCTAGAATATGTATAAGTTAATGTACAAATAAGCAAATATGTAGGGTGCTGTGAAAATTATTTTTCACTTTTTAACTGAAATGTTTGTTGGAGGTGGAAATATTTTTCAGGAATTACAATTTTAAATCAACATTACAAAAAGTTCTGAGAAGAGAGTTGAGATGTTCTTAAATATTCTCTTGCCCCCTTGAACAACTTTAGCAGCATTTAATTTCCCTTTGGGATTAATAAAGTATTCTTGAATCATATTTTTTTAAATAACCGCCCAGTCATTAATCCATTTAATGCTGGGTCATTACAGTCAATGCTACGTGTATGCTTAAAACCTCTCAAGCTTCAAAGTCTAAAGAAACAACTGCAATTCTTTGGTAGGATCGAATATTTCTTCATGGTGTCCAATTATCTCAAAAACAACAGTTTTCAAAGAACATTAACATTAAGCTTCAGTTACTAGTAAGGTGAACAATGTTTTCTTACAGAGCTGTTAGCCCAAGTGCTATAGTGCCTGGTTATTCAGTTCAAAAAAATATTTTGGTGTTTTAGTGACAATTCCCGAAACTGAATGTCACTATGCTATAAAGAAAACATGTTATCAGTGGTGCAGTAATGGTCATCTCACACTGACAGCTGTCTGAATTCAGTGGAAAACAGGAAGTTACAGCAACAAAAATGATCTCATGATTTCTAGTAGTAAAAGAGTAGATACAGAGACTGGGTATAATTGGCTTATTAAAAAAAAAAAAAAAAAAGCCTTGATCTGGAAACCTCATTCAGATACTTTGAACTGGATTGTAACATCCCTAAAGCTGGGCTTACACAGTGATAACTACCAATATAAACCATATGTTTGGTTTCATGGTTTCATTGTTTTCCTGACATTGACTGCTGATTTGTATAAAGTTTCATTTTCAGGACCGGTATTGTAGCATGGAAATACATTTTTAGTTTTAGCTTGAATGCACGGAATTAACACAAGCTGCAAATCCGTTGCAGCATGGCCATTTTAGGCATATTTCTGCCCCCTACAGGGCCGGAGTGAGAAAGTCAGTGTCTTAGACTTCCTAAATGTCACAAGGCTAAAAATGGAGTCTCTCTTTGATTTGGAAAGGGCTCTTTTAAAAATTGCAATAATGTTTCAAATGCGGTTATTCAGCCCTAGTGTCAATGTCTGCCATACATTTCTATCACAATGGTACTGCTGGTATGAAATAACTTATTTAATTTTGCACACAAGTAACCTGTTAGACAGACTTTCATACCTCACTTAATGGATATAATTGCAGCTGAGATGCTAGATTTAATGAAGAATTGGGCCCTTAATTGGTGGGTTTTTGGTGATCATTATTGTTATCTCAGTCTTTGACAATATACAAGTATTACACATATTATGCAGCCCAATATCTACTTCGATAGTTTATTAAACAATGATTATGTACTGATATAAATAACTGTTTGGGTCATTCTTCTTTAAAATCAAATATCCCTTGTTTATATTCTGCTCTAAGTCACTGGATAAAAAAAAAGTATTGTTTGGAAGTGGAGTGAATCTCAGATTATAAACAAAACCAAAAACTTTTAAATGCAGCTTAATAAAGTTTGGCATTTCACTATTTTTGGGCATGAAATGTTTTTTGGGGGAAAAAACCATAGTGAAGAGGACACATTTTAGACCCTTCAGTATTTCAGTAATGTAATGACAGCTCGTTGAGGTGTTTCCATATTGTGATGTCAATCACCTCTAAGACAAACTGTATTGCTCTCATTTCATAAGAATCAAAACTCTTCCAGGGTCTTAACTGTTTGAGATTTTCTATTAAATCCTACATTATGTTATCATTGTCCAGATCAACCACACATTTGTTTACGGCAACATCCAGCCAATCATATAGTATAACATGACTTGCATGCGCAGGGCCTGATCAGATATGACCAACCCAGCAGATGTGGTATCTACATTGGGACATCCATTATTTTGACACCAATAATTTGGCTGTAATCAGCCACTCTAAAAAGGACCCACAGGATTTCTATAACTAAAAACCATGAGAACTCAATATAAAGAGGTTTTTTAAGGCTTCTGTTTGAAACAGGAAAAACGCATCAATATTGTGTTCTTTATTTTTTTGGGCAGAAATGGTCTTTCTTCTTGTGTTCACATTTTTATAGTAATGCAAATTAAACAGACTGAGACTGAGTTAGCTGTAATAAAGTAAAACCTGTTTGTGATGTCTGGCTTGTTTGCCAATAGTCCAGGAGACAAATTATTAATAACCTTTTGTGCTTGATATACATGTAAAAGAAAGACACTGACAACTCAAGTGTCACAAAAAAATTAAGCCAATCAGAGTCCATTGGGGATTCGGTAGTTGTTGGTTGATAATGAGCCCACCTTCTACAGAAAAGCATCACACTGCCATGCATCCTTTTCCTGCACTCTATTGCTTTGACCTGTAAGAAAATTCAGACCCACTTAGCTCCTCAGTGATGAAAAGCGAGCTGAAGCATGGTGGAGTAAATATGAACCAGGAGCCTTAAGTATATTACACCCAGTGAATTGTTCTTTGCAGATTGACTTTTTGGTATCTGTAGCAGTGAAGAAAAACAACTGAACATAAATCTGATCACTTCGGTCTGCATAGGTTTAGAAAAAAAATCAGTAAATGTTCCTTTTTTGTTGATGTATTGCTGTCTTTACACACACACGGCACATTTAGGCACTTTTTAAGTTAGGCCTGGGCGATATTGCAAAAAAATCTAACCTCTGATTTTCTTCTCTACCAAATCTGATTAATATATGTTTTTTTTAACTTATAAATTAACTTAAATTATATATATTCCTTTTTCTTTATTATCCTCCTGCAAGGTGACATAAACTAAAGCTGAGAAACATGCTTTTTGAATGAAACATGTTTCATAAAAGACAATGAAAATACAGCAAACTAAATGTTTATAGCTGATTTTATTGCACAGAGAAAACAAAAAGTAATGAAGGGATGTCACCCTGGGCTATATTGATTAATCGCCCAGCTCTAAATTGTGTCCGTCTCATACATAAGAACACAAAAAGTGTGGATTAAATCTTTATTATGCAGCTAAACACTTGTGTTCACTTATGATCATTCCTGTAACTCAGAGGGGGAAAAAAGCTTATATATCTTAAATTCTTCTGTCGAGGGAAAGGTTCACAACCTGAGGCATTAAGAGTTGACTTGTACTTTCTTGTGTTTTGGGAAAAGATCAACTCCTAATCTGTCATTGTTATAATCAGATAAACACCTCACTGGGGTGTTAACTTGAATAAACACCCTCGGTTCCCTAAATGAACTCGGGGCCTCCATCTAATCTGTGTGTACTTCTATTAAAACAAGGCACCCTTCTCCCCATGCTGGTTCACACTACAAACACCATGGAAAGCAGCATTTAAATACACACTCTCCTAGCCTGCCCCCTACTGTTGCTTGGATCTGCTTTCAAACACACATGTATGCACTTTCACACACTCTGAGGAAAATATAACTCCATATTCCTCTTTAAATGAGCAGAATGGGTCCAGAGTTTATTTGGAGTCAAAATAGCTCTTGGTGCAGTTTTTTCAAGTCTTTTTCCTTTAATTAAACCCTAGTTAAGCTCTCCAAAGATGGAGGGTGGAGGACTTTGTGGACCACACTGCCTCTTATGGTTAAGTTAGGTATTACTCCCATTGTTTTTTTAACTTTTATGGGTTTAGTTAAAAAAAAAAAAAACTGTTGTTACAATTAAACCTGGAATCCAAATGTGTTTAATGGCGTTCTGCCTTCTGTTATGGTTTGATATATGTTTATATTCATGGGATCTTTTTGTAAATATTATTAATGTTATTTTGTATTTAATTTTCACTTGCTTTCAAGCTTAAACATTTTCTGCTTTTTAATGACATACCTTTAAAGCTTAAGTCTAAAACCTAGTTGTTAATTTTTTAGATACATTTTTATTTTCCTTCTGCAGAACCATTGCAGCCTAAACATGCATTTTCATGAAGTTGATTTGTTTACCAAATGGCTACCATGTAAAATATGAAAGGATATTTTAAAGATTTCTATAAAAGGGTTTAAAGTCACATTTCTGTGAACTAGTTTTAATCAACTGCAACACTTTGAGCTTGTAGTTCTCAAATTCACCAGTTGGTGCCCTCCTTTCCATGTTTCCATGTCCACAACTGTTTCAGCAAATTGATTTGAATTGTCTCTTAAACATTTGATTATTCTCTAACTCCATTTGCTTTACTTTGTTTTGAATAAAACCTTTAGCATCTCATAAACTGTTATTATTTGGCATCACTGAGCAGTTGTATCCTTTTTTCTTATCTTTAGCTGAAGACAGCTAAGTGGCGGCAGGTTAAGAGCCGTCCATCCACCAGCCTCTCCTCCCCACCCTTCCAGACATTTCCCCCCATTTGGATCATCTCACCTGCACCCTAGTTCTCACACCTCAACCACGCTCAACGTTGAAGACGCACACAAGCAGAGCTGCAGAGGTCAACAGCTCCCCCATTGAACAAGATGATCACCTCGGAGCTTCCTGTCCTACAGTAAGTGAAACACCCAGGAAGCTCAGAGCAGAAGGGGATAAAAACGGATTGTTTTGAAGAACTTAAGTTTGATCTCAAAGCTTGTAAATTTGTGTTTTAATGTTTAACCTTAAAAATGAAATGGGTGTAGAGTTCCTGATTTCCTGCCTTTTTCACATTTTCAGGTTCTCTAAGATCGCAAAATGCTAACAAGTTTCATGATTTGCTCTTTAAGGGACTCCTCCAATGAGTCTGGGGCAACAGACACTGTGAGCTTAAGCATGAACATCACAGAGATGGAAGATCCAGAGATCAAAGGCAAGAAGAAGAGGGGGAGGCCTGGAAAACAGACACAGGTACGAGTCCGTGTCTTGATGCTAAGAATCAAGGTACTTGTTAGAGATGTCGGTGTGGGTTTTAGCTCATTTTGTTTTTGATATTTTGGTCACTGAAGACGTCCAATAAGAAGCCCCGGAAGTCTCCAACAGACAAGACTCTGACCATGGCCAGAGGAAGGGGGAAAGCAAATGGCGTGGCTCAGCAAAATGGAAACGGAGGAGAGCCCGTGACTCTGTTTGAAGTTGTCAAACTGGGAAAGAGTGCAATGCAGGTGAACTTTCACTACTAATTCCTTCCTTATGTTCTTTTGCATCTAGCAGGTTTTCAATGTAGTGTGTGTGCATGGAATTAGCTTACAGTACTTTTTAGCTTTAAGATAAGTAACAATTTTACACTTTATCCTGTTCCTAACTTTTTAAAATGTTTTTTCATCCATCTGGTCTCTTGTATGTCCATCCTTAAACCTGTTCATCTATCAATCATCCATTAACCTGCAGCCCTCCACCTATTGATATGTCAATCCATCCCTTTGCTCCTCTATTCATTCTGTCTTCTAAAGTTGAATCCATTTGTCCATCAATCGTGAAACTGTCCAGGCATCCATCCTCTTTCAGTCTTTGGTTTTGCAGGTTCCACAAACTAAGTATTGACAAGTATCACCCATAATCCTGTTTAACATTCTTGTATATACCTCACAGTAGTGGTCTCAAAATCAAATCCTACAACTTTTAGACATGTCTTTGCCTCTACACTCCTGACTCCTAATAATGGCAGAGCTTCATTGCTGCTAACATGGTACCTTAGCTATTTGATTCAGGTGTGTAGGGTAAAGGACACATCTAAAAGTAGGTCAACGGCTCTCAAAGATTTGAGTTTGAGACCCCTACCTTACACATTTACTAAATTAGATAAAGGAGAAAGCTACAGATTTACTTCTGTATATGAAATCATTGTTTTCCTGTTTATTACACATAACGCAAAAGCTGCTCTTTGTACCAAAGCATAGAAGTGGAGATGTGATGATTTAGTTTTTCTATTTGCAGTCTGTCGTTGATGAGTGGATCGAGGCATACAAGCAAGATCGAGACTTGGCCCTGCTGGATCTCATCAACTTTTTCATCCAGTGCTCCGGCTGCAAAGGTGATTTTTATTAATTTAGTTTTTTCGTCCTCGTTATGGAGCACGTATTAAAATCAAATGCTTCATCTGTTGTCTGAGCTGACCAGAATGATGAACGTATGTGTCCCTCATTTCTGTGTATCAGGCACTGTGAGGATAGAGATGTTCAGGAACATGCAGAATGCAGAGATCATCCGCAAGATGACGGAGGAGTTTGATGAGGTAACTGTCTGAGTAAAGAAAACTTCTCATGAAGGCAAGATGAATTCTGCATAGCAGATGTAGGAAATCTTAACTAGCATCTCAAACTGCTGCATGAATAGTGAGGAGACCTTTGAACTTCTGCTTATTATTTTCCTTTATGATCAAATCAGTATTTGAACTCAATTCAAATCTTGGTTAAACCATTTAAAACAACTCAGGATGTTGACATTTTTTTGGTATGCCTAAACAGGACAGCGGGGATTATCCTCTAACGATGCCCGGCCCAATGTGGAAAAAGTTTCGCTACAACTTCTGCGAGTTTATCGGCGTTTTGATCCGTCAGTGTCAGTACAGCATCATCTACGATGAATACATGATGGACACAGTCATTTCCCTCCTTACTGGACTGTCGGACTCCCAAGTACGAGCCTTCAGGCACACCTCCACATTAGCAGGTATTCTGAAAGGCAGCAGAGGAACCTGGAGATCTGCTTTGCTTGAATTGGTTGTGAGGATGGATGTGTACGATATATTTTTGTCTCTGTGCAGCAATGAAGCTGATGACGGCGCTGGTTAATGTGGCATTGAACCTGAGCATTCATCAGGACAACACCCAGAGACAATACGAGGCTGAGAGGAACAAGATCGCTGGCAAACGAGCCAATGAGAAGCTGGAACTGCTGCTGCAAAAGAGGAAGGAGGTAAGCTTATTTTAATCAGTATTTTCTTTTATTGTCTCTCATTACAGACACGGATATTGCTCACGATTAATTCAAAATATTTCTGAGTTCTTTGCAAATGGTCTTGGATTGGTTTGTTTCTTCTAATATAATCCCTGATATTATTATAGAAACAGAAGTAAGTAAATCTAAAAGCATAGAAGGTGCCGAAGCAACAAGTTACTTTGACCCCAATACTAACTTTTTATATGTTTCCTACAGTTTTGAAATGATATGAAATTTGATTTGGGTAGTTTCCAGGTCTGAGTTAGTAATAAAACATGTGGGTATGGAAAAGGGTTTGTACTTCCTGACTTTACTCACTATCCTGTTGTCTAAATATTTCATTCATTCATCAGTTTATTTATCCATCTATCTCTGAATCAATTAAACTGAGACTCTTGACTTAGATTGGTTATATACAGAGCAGCACTGAATGTGACCTCTGGGATTTTTGTGTTCAGCTTCAAGAGAATCAAGATGAAATAGAAAATATGATGAACTCCATCTTTAAGGGTATCTTCGTGCATCGCTACAGGTAAACATTTCAGGTTTCCGCTTTGCTAAATTTTGCATCATCAAAGATCTATCTGTGAATACCGGGCTTTGTTTTTCTAGGGATGCTATTGCTGAGATTAGAGCCATTTGCATCGAGGAGATTGGAGTGTGGATGAAGATGTACAGCGACGCATTCCTTAATGACAGCTACCTTAAATATGTTGGTTGGACGTTACATGATAGGGTGAGCGCTCGATTGATTTTTTATTTTTTACCTTTTCAGTGACATTTAGACAAAGACTGATAGAAGAGAATAATTCCTATTTCTCTCTAATTAGATGTTTGCTTTGCTTGCTTTGTTTTCAGCAAGGAGAGGTGCGTCTGAAATGCCTGAAGGCTCTGCAGAACCTTTACACAAACAGAGAGCTGTTCCCCAAGCTCGAGCTTTTTACCAACCGCTTTAAGGTAATGTAATCTGTTAGAATCAGGACTGCTTTCACACTGTGCTGCAGGTCACCTGACGTTAATGATCCCTCTGCCTAAATGTTACTATCTTTGCAGGATCGAATTGTCTCGATGACACTGGATAAAGAGTATGATGTGGCTGTTGAGGCCATCAGACTGGTTACCCTCATTCTGCAGTGAGTAGTTTGGTATATTTCAACAATTCCTTTAACCTTTTTTGCACTCTGACAACCCCAAACTTCTCAGTAGGTTATATGTTAAGGGGTATGAGCTCATTCTGATACACCTAAATGAAAACGAGTAAATGGTTGCAATATTAGATTTGATATGAATATAAATGTTTTATAAAGGCCTCAAAGGTTTGTGACAGTAGCCCAGTAAACTAGCCCCACCTGCTAGCGGCCAAAATAATTTTTGCATGCGAGTGGGTCTAGCCTCCAACAATGCCCCAGGCCCTAGAACTGGTGGGCCAATCACAACGCAGAGATGTGTTTTGAATTTTTGGATGCAAAGCGGCTGGGGTTTTGAGGGCATGACGACAAAAATGCACGACGCTGGAGAAAGCACAACAAGGAAGATGGCAACAACTATTGAACAGTTCTCGTTTGACTCAGCTTTGGAATCAGTTTTGGAAGGATTAGACTTGGGGTTTTCGTTGAAACATGAGCAGGAAGAGGCTCTACGCTCATTAATTTTTAAAAAGGACGTATTCACCGTTTTCTCGACAGGCTGATTGTTTAGAGTCCCCCACCAGCTTTCTGTCACGCTAACTACGTCACAGTCAGTTGCGCTCATTGGTCAGAGCGTTGGCCAATAGGCACAGACATGGTTTGAAAAACAACGGGTTGTTCTCATCAACAATCTTCCGATGTCTCATTCATCGGGGCCTGACTAAATTACACATTTAATCTCACATTTAGTCTGGTTTATCAGGCTATTGTCACAGAACAACACAGAACACCTAATTAATAAGAACCTGTATCAGACAGCTCAAGAAGTTCTGGAGATATTTAAAACTGTTGGATTATTAGAAAAATCCTTTTTAAACTCATTATTCGAAACTAGAGATTGTGACGTCCACCTTTACTGGCAGCCATTAGAGCAGTAATCAGAAAGATTCATGGGGCCAACGGGGATTCAGAACTTCACAACTTTGTTAGGAGAATCTGTTGGCAGCATGGCTTTCTACAAACCTATGCTCTAAAATGAGGCCTGGACTGATGAGCGTCAGAGGCTGGAAGAAGCATTTACCTCTTAGAATACATTGTTTGAGTTTGTAATTTGTTAGTAGACAAAGTATACATAACTTTCCCGGTCTTGATAGTTGGTAAAGCAGGAACATGTAAAGACGTATTCAATTAACATGTTTGTAATCCAAGGGGCAGTGAAGATGCCTTGTCAAACGAGGACTGTGAGAACGTTTACCACCTGGTTTACTCTGCTCACCGACCTGTAGCAGTTGCTGCAGGAGAGTTTCTTCATAGAAAGTAGGTTCAATCCTGGCATGCTTGTTATTGAGCTTAGTGTGACCCATTGTCCTTTATTTTCCACCTAAAACTATCCACCTCTCGTCAGGTTGTTCAGTCGCCATGACCCGCAGGCTGAGGAAGCCCTGGCTAAACGGAGAGGCAGGAGCAGTCCCAATGGGAATCTCATCCGGATGCTTGTTCTCTTTTTCTTGGAGAGCGAGGTAAAGACACAGCTCAAAATGTTCTCCTAAAATAAAGCTCAAATCATTATGGTCTGCCAAAAGAAAAGCATGACTTCTGTGTTTTATTTTCTGTCATTGCTAGTAGACAAAGCTGGATAACTGCTGTCATTATATGATGCCATAAATAATCTGTTTAATCATGTCACCTTCACGTCTTTATTTATATTTATTAATGTGTGTTTCTGTCCAGCTTCATGAGCATGCAGCGTACCTGGTCGACTCGCTGTGGGAAAGTTCTCAAGAGCTGCTGAAAGACTGGGAATGCATGACTGAACTTCTGCTGGAGGAGCCCGTTCAGGGAGAAGAGAGTAAGGCCTGCTCTTTAATATTGTTCCTGTTGACTCCATGCTACTTCACATGTGGTGCCTCAGTGCTTCAAAAGCAACAGAAAGGGAAAAGTGTAATAAAGGATGTTCTTTTTCCGGGTGGATCATAAAAATAAGTGGTCCTCCTAATTGTCGATCATTCTGGTGAAATGTTTTTACATAAAGCCGTCTTATATGCTCATCCCCATTTTCACTTACCGGTGGTGAGTCTGACATAGTGGAAAAATTGCAAATCTTCTTTTGGAAAGTAACTATCTACTACTAGTATTTTTTTTTAATAAAAAATAGCTGGTTTAATCCTCTTTGTTTTTGAACTTTTTGTGATTTTCTCTGTGGAATTAATTTAAATTGTCTCAATTTTTTTTCTATCTGCAGTGTTGTCAGACAGACAGGAGAGTGCTTTGATAGAGTTGACGGTGTGCACCCTCCGACAGGCGGCCGAGGCACACCCACCTGTTGGCAGAGGCACTGGCAAACGAGTAGGTTACCTACTTGATACGGATACTCAGGAAAATATTCGATACTTGATACCATTTTCGATACCACGAGGATAAAAACAAAGACCCCAAAATTTAACAGAAATATTTTCATTAATAATAGGAATAATAAGAACAATATTTTGAGGTTGTATGCTGTGCACAATATTAAGCAAGCTTGATTAAAAAACCAAATTAACTGAAATTATCCTTGGCTGTGCTTTGCACACATAACAATCAGAATCAGACATACTTTAATAATCCCAGAGGGAAATGACTTCAATGACACTAGCCAAACCTGTTAACAAACCAAATAATTCTCAGCAGCTGCACCTGTTACAAAAAAAGACTGAAACTGAAAAGTGTTACAGAATTATTGTATCCGAGTACAACGTTGTAGTGTCAAAACTTTTTTGAGTATCGATGATTTTGACAACCCTAGTAACTATATATTTTCATGTAAGTTAGTAGGCAAGATTACCATGCAGTCTCTTTTTGTAATCTCAAATATTGATTCATCCATCCATCTTCCGCTTATCCGGGGTCGGGTTGCGGGGGTAGGAGCTTCAGTAGGGAGGCCCAGACGTCCCTCTCCTCAGCCACTTGGGCCAGCTCCTCCGGGGGAATCCCAAGGCGCTCCCAGGCCAGCCGAGAAACATAGTCCCTCCAGCGTGCCCCTATTGATTCATTTTGTTGATTTTCCTTTTATTGGAGCTATAAATCCAACTGTGGATTTAGTTATTTATGTAGATACGGTTTTTTTTATACCCGATTTATGTACACTAACAGGCTACAACTGGCTATAAAAAAATATAAATATATTTTTAAAAATCCTGAATTAGATTTTTAAGTAAGTGAATACATTTGATGAGCTTTGTAGTAAAGTTAAACATGGATCACAGCATTCCAGACAGCAACCAGGTGGGAAGAAGTGCGGGTGTTTCTTTTTTTACAGAAGTAAACATTAATAGTATATGATGTAGGTGATTTTTAGTTTGCCACTGGGGAGGTAAAGTGGTATGTAGAGCAGAGCTCCCAGTTGTCCGGCAGAGTTGAAGGCTGAGACAATGTTTTCAATTTGGATAATTCTTTGTTTGTGGACATAATCTGAAAATCACAAGTAGATTTAGGCTTTGAGGATCTAGTTCAATTTACAATCAAAAAGCATTTCTCCGCTGCAGCAAAGTAAAAAGTCTCTCTTTAAAATATCAAATGACTGCATTAGAAAAGTAATAGTTTGTACTCCTCCATCGCAAAAAAATGAAAAAAAGTGCTTTGATCATCTAACAAAGAGGAAATGACCTTTTGCTGATCTGTAAGTGTGTCTTATGTTCTTTCTTTCCAGGTCCTGACTGCTAAGGAGAGGAAGACCCAAATAGACGATAAGAATAAACTCACTGAACATTTCATCATGGCTCTTCCTATGTTATTATCTAAGGTAGGCCATGACTAGGTCAGCAGGAGAGCATCCAGGGATTAATGACAAATATTCAAGTGATATCAATGTAATCCACTGCAACATTATTTAATTAACCTAATGAGCATTAAAACATATTGCTGTCAGCCTCTTTATGCCCTAAATAGTTTAACTCTAGTCTTTGTTCTTTCCCATTAGTACCAGGCAGATGCAGAGAAGGTAGCAAATCTACTTCAGATCCCGCAGTTCTTTGACCTGGATGTATACAGTGCCGGGCGCATGGAGAAGCATCTGGATGCCTTATTGAAGCAGATCCGGTTAGTGGTGGAGAAACACATTGAGACGGACGTGCTGGAAGCCTGCAGTAAAACCTACAGCATCCTGTGCTCTGAGGAGTACACCATCATGAACCGCGTAGACATCGCTCGCTCACAGCTCATCGATGAGATGACCGACCGATTTGCACACTCGGTTGAAGAGCTGCTGCAGGAGGTATGGATGGGAGGAATTGTTGAAAATGTGTTTCTGGATCTGTCGGATCTTTGTTAGATCATTAAAAGTATCCCTACAGAGGAAAACATTTGATGTGATGAGTTTAAACCTAAATTTATCTCAACATATTGCTCCACAACAGCTAATGAATATATTTATCCAGAAAACACAAGTGAATTTATTTGCAGATGCAGCAACCACTTTTGCTGCTTATTTTCTGTCTCTGATTTTTGAAAAGCTTTGAGCTGTTTGAGCCTCTATGAGAACTGGGCTATAAGAAGGTATTTTTCTCCAGCCTTCCTGCTATAAACAATCTTTTTTTTATACTGGTAGCAAAGGGGACATCACATTACTGTAAGGGAGTTGCAACTGTATTCATTGTCAAATTTATAACAATTATTGAGTTCAATATTAGGAAAGCAGTAGTTTCTGTATGTCTGTCCTGAATCCTTAACTGGAGAATGGGTGATAAAATCACCACTATGTTGCTTATATCATAAAAGCTGAATATTGAGTGCAGGGAAAATCATTACAGATAAACAATAAAGCAGAGCAGCTTCGGTTTAAATCTGTCATCATATCTGCTGAAATGTTGCTTCAAGTCTGCATGAAACATGATTATTCTTTTACTAATTCAAGGAGTGCTGGTTAGCTTCTTGTCTTCAGTGGTTTAATTTTTTGTTTTGTTATATTTCGTTTGATTGACCCTGATGTCAGTCAGGTGTGCTAACGTACTTTTTGTCACACAGGGTGAAGAAGCCGACGATGACGACATCTACAACGTTCTGTCTACTCTTAAGCGTCTCACAGCTTTCCATAAGTAATTAGTTCCTTTATTTAAACAAAGAAACAAATCAATGTTTAAAACTTGTTTAAAAAACAACACCCCTGTTACGAGGACCTCGCTACCATAATTTAACTCCCTTTGTCCTTTCCTCTTCAGTGCTCATGACCTAACAAGGTGGGATCTGTTTGGGAATTGTTACCGGCTGCTGAAGGCGGGCATAGAGCAGGGCTCCATGCCAGAGCAGATTGCTGTGCAGGCCCTGCAGTGCTCTCACTACTCCATCCTGTGGCAGCTGGTGAAGATCACGGAGGGGGTTCCCAGCAAGGTGCTCAGCTTTTCTCTCTAAAATCACTTTCTCTGTTCTTGGGTTCCAGCTTTATCTTTAGACTCAGGCTCAGATTTAGGGGTGCTTCATCTGAGATTTTATAATAACTCATGTAAAGAAATGGCTTTATATTACTTAGATCCATATGCAACTATAATGAATTAACTCTGCTGCCTTGGCAAGCATAATTTAGTGACCAACAGCCTAGAAATCGTTTCTAAACACTTTATTTTTATACATCCAATATCTGGGTTATTGAAAGGTTGTATGGAAAAGGCAAACATTCAGCTCTAATGCTGCTTTTATTGGCAAATAAATGAATAAAATAAAACTTTCTGTTTTTATGCATTAATAGTTTGAAGAATTGAATATTGATGCTGGCAATAAATGAAACCAGCTCTTTATAAATCTACTTATTCATCATTTTAAAGTGACTTTGATTATCCAATGATGTGTTAATGTATCGGATGTAAAAACAATAAATCAAAGCTGTTTTCTGAGCTGATGGACGGTATATCGATTGTTCCATCCACGTGAAGTTAATTTAAGCATCAGCCTTTCATTAAATCAGCTGCGCTGTTAAAGAAATAAATGCCTTCCTGTCTGAAGAAGGGTGCTCTTTGTGTTGTATTGATTTCTGCTAAGGTGCTTAGTATTTCTGACACTTTACTAATGACATTCATCTGTCCTGCATGTAGGATGACCTCTTAGCTCTCAGGAGGGTGGTGAAGTCTTTCCTCGCTGTATGCCAGCAGTGTCTGTCCAACGTCAACACACCAGTTAAAGAGCAGGTGAGAGAATTGATTTAGCCCTGTCTAGTCTGATAACACACACGTTTTGGATATTTATTTATCCTTTATTTAATCAGGCTAATCCCATTGAGATTGAATGAGAGGTTGCCAAGAAGGCATCAATATAGTAACATAACTAAAAACGATAAAGACGTGCAACACATTAGAAACATTGGTCATATAACAGGGTTTCTGTGGGTCACTAAAAATAATTATATTTATAATAATTATAAATAATTATAAAATAATGCGCACTTTCATCTGGTTTGGTCTGCCGGCTTCCGTAGCGTCGTGAACGCGCAGGCGCGCGCTTTCAGGAAATCCTATACACTACTGTTTATGCTCTAAAAACATTCTAAATTACTTCATTTCGAGTAAATTATGGATGCTACCCACTCAGGACACTTGGAATACATTGGATGAGCAGTATGGAGGAATATTGACACGTTTTTTGTGGACTTTTATGGACCTTTCTGTCTCGGGCACCGTAGACCTCCATTATTTGAATGTCAGCAGACAGCAAGAAGCCTCCCAGATCTCCAGATGCATTTGAGATATAAAAAAAATACTCCAGAGTGTTGTTCAGCATGGGGGTGAGTAGAAAATGAAGGCTAATCATGTTTTGGGTGTACTATTCCTTTAAAAAGCATTCAATTAGAGTTACTCATTCCTGTATAAACCCTGTATAAAACACAAAGGCTTTGGACTGCAGTGATTTTAATCCAGTTTTAAAATCAGTTTACAGCTGAAATTATGAGAGCTGAAGTATTGGGAACGAACATCTATCAATTGGAAATGATTGCATACATTTTTCTTTGTTGGACAATAAAGATAAAATTATCTGATGCCTAAAATGACTTCCTAGGGCTGGAGTTGGTGATGATTCTCTTATTCATGATGCACTTTTCAGCATCCGGAGACAGTGAACAGATGCATCCATGTAAAGCACATAACCTTAGATTATGATAAAAAAAAAAACTGCTCCATTTTTCTTAAAGATACTGAATATTATGTTCCTTAAAAGTCTTGTTATAACCAATTCTAGATATTTATGGTAGATAAAAATGCAACAGGTAGACTATTTCTTGTTAGGAAGGAAGGAAGGAAATCATTTGCAAATCATAACGGGAAAAAATTACATTTAGGAAATTCTGCAAATAACAAGTTGTTCTTGTATTCTATCAAAGACAGGATGTAGATGCTGGAAGGCCCCAGCAGGAGTGGGTTATGTTCTGTTTATAATAGTGTTATCTGCATAGAAATAAAAAGTTAAATTTGGAATGTTAATGTAAGCTGGGAATAAAATCAAACTCAGTAGAGCACCTTGAGGGACACCCATTTAAACTCTAAGGAAGTACAGTCTATCTGGACTGCTGTGGTTCTGAAAGATGTGAGGTGTTTATCCATGATATTCATGTTATTTGTGTTTCAGATTCATTAAAGACACCTTTATCTCTCTCGTTTAGGCGTTCATGCTTCTATGTGACCTGCTGATGATCTTCAGCCACCAGTTAATTACGGGAGGAAGAGAAGGTCTCCAGCCGCTGGTGTTCAACCCAGACAGTACTCTGCAAAACGAGCTGCTAAACTTTGTCCTGGATCATGTCTTCATCGATCAGGATGATGAAAATCAGAGCATGGGTGAGGATGTCATGGCATGACTGACTAAAGCTAATATTTTTTTGTCTCGGTGAAATTGAATTGAGGAACTCCTTTTTAATCAGTTTCCTCCATCTTTTTTTTTTTCTGTAGAGGGAGACGAGGAGGACGAGGCCAACAAGATTGAAGCTCTGCACAAAAGGAGAAATCTGCTCGCAGCTTTCTGCAAACTTATCATCTATGACATCGTAGACATGCCTGCTGCTGCTGATATCTTTAAACACTACATGAAGGTGTGTTGATCTGCACTGGTTGAGTTGTTTATTGCAATTAATGTTTTTTTTATTGGAAGGGAAAAGATAAGCTGATAGTTTCTCCTTGAGATTTCTTCTGCACTAAATTGCCCATTTCTTCATGTTTTTACTCCTTTCCACTCTGTGCCTCAGTACTACAACGATTATGGTGACATCATCAAGGAAACACTCAGTAAAACAAGACAGACAGACAAGATTCTCTGTGCAAAAACACTCATACTCAGTCTGCAGCAGGTGAGGCACTTATTCTCATAAGTAAAAGTTTTCTGCTCTCCGATTCAGCAACACTCGGATGTTCCAGCCCTCAAACATGATCACTCTCGTTGTTGTTGCAGCTGTTCAATGAGCTCCTGCAGGATCAGGGTCCCAATCTGGATCGAACATCGTCACATGTTAGCGGCATCAAGGAGCTGGCTCGCCGCTTCGCTCTGACCTTTGGTTTGGATCAGATCAAGACCAGAGAGGCTGTTGCAACGCTACACAAGTACGACTCTTTCTGTTTTAATCGGTTTTTAAAGCAGGATGAAATTAAAATACCAGAGTTTAAGCTGGACCGTTAGGCCAGACCTAAAAAAGAACACAAAAAAACCCCAGAAATCAATTTCAAAGAAGGAAGGCTGCCTCCAGCACTTGAGGTTATAAAAACAGAGCACTTTACTAAATAGGATATGATCTGTGAGAAAATTGAAACACAAAGCTGATGATAATGTGTTTGTAGCTTCATGCTTGGCATTTCTCACTTCCCTTGTTACTGATCACTGCTTCCACTTTGTTTAATCAGGGATGGAATAGAGTTTGCATTTAAGTATCAAAACCCTCGAGGATCAGAGTTTCCTCCCATCAATCTGGCCTTCCTGGAGGTCCTGAGTGAATTCTCCTCCAAACTAATACGGCAAGACAAAAAGACGGTGTACGTAATCCTTTCATCTCTTTCTTTTCTCCATTTTTTTTGCTAGGCTAAAGTTCCTAAATGATTACAGAATTTTTCAACTTTGTCTCCTCAGTCACTCGTACCTGGAAAAGTTCATGTCTGAGTCGATGTCGGAACGCCGGGAGGATGTGTGGCTGCCGCTGATCTCTTACAGGAACAGTCTGCTGACCGGCGGAGACGAGGACCACATGTCCGTCACATCAGGCTCCAGCAGCAAGACAGGCTCTGTGCGCAGCAAGAAGGGACGTCCGCCGCTGCACAAGAAACGCATTGAGGGTGAGCGTGCAGACCTGTGAGTCGTTTGTTGAAGCCTAAAGAGGATCCTCATGCTGACTGTAAACCTTTGTTCCAGAGGAGAGCAGCGTGGAGGGCTCATGGATGATGAGAAATGACACACTTCAGACGCCGAGTGCGCTCCAGACTCCTCAGCTCACCTCAACGGTTCTCAGAGAAAACAGACCTGCAGAACACATGCCTGATCCGGACTCAGAACCAGGATCGGAGAACGACTACGTCCACAAGTTTGTTCCATTTCTTTTAATTCAAACAGATAAAATTTTAAAGTCTTTTTTTGCTGCATGTGTTTTGATAAAATTGAGTCTCCGTCTCCTCCAGTCCTCAGATGCAGATGTCTTGGCTCGGCCAACAGAAGATGGAGGAGGTGAACAGGAAAGACCGAACGAGCATGAACTACATCAAGTCACGCAGCAACCAGGGCGTCCGGCAGACTGTGTAAGTCTACGTTACACTGTTTCACTCAGTCAGAGGAAATCCCTGTTTAAGTCTTGTTTTCTCCTCCAGCCGCGGTTTGATGGAGGACGACGCAGAGCCCATCTTTGAAGACGTGATGATGTCATCGCGGGGCCAGCTGGAAGACATGAACGAGGAGTTTGAAGATACCATGGTGATCGACCTGGTCAGTGAACAGCTGGATGCTTGAACTGCATCAGATTTTATTTAGATAAGAAATATGAAGGATCCTCTAAAGCAGAGAAACCGGCAGCATCTTTATTTTATTTTGATTCTTATTTAACAAAAATGTTTTATTTGGCTTTTTTGCTAAAATGCATTTTACCCAATTATTAGTATTTCTGTTTGTTAACGATTATTGTTTTGAAAAGATGATAAAATCATGTTAGGCATTAATATGAACCTTTTGTCTTCTCAGCCACCGTCGAGGAACAGACGGGAAAGAGCAGAATTAAGACCAGACTTCTTTGACTCTGCAGCGATGATAGAAGACGAGTCGGTATGTGAATAATTTATAATTATTTAAATTTCTGGTAATTATCTTGATTTTTAAATGTTTAGTAAAAAGAGTTTTATTTTAAAATGTGATTCATGAATACATTTTAGGAAGCTAAGCGATTTGAAAATGGCTTCTGATGATTAAATATGGCTGTAATTTATATTTTACTTTGTGTGTTTCTTCAGGGATTCAGCATGCCCATGTTCTGATGTGGAAAGTGAATATCACGAGTTCAGCTTGCTGAGGAGTGAACTGAAGGGAGGGAGGGTCTGGGACGGTGACTGTACCGCCTAACAATCAAACTCGTTGTAAAGAAGAATATACTGTGTTAAAGTGTTGTCTATCTTTCTCTGAGACATGACGGAAGGATGTTGGCCAAGTGGATCGGCGTCGGCTGGAAACAATCTGGAAGTTGGGATCTGTTCTCTCTCACGCAGACTGGAGGTTCTGCAGTCAGAATTATTCAAGAACTTCGACCCATTCGTGTTTTTTTTTTTGCCTCCTCTTCCTCTGCAGCCTGTCGGCGTAGCTCTGGTTAGTGGTGCTCCCGATGGCGCTGGCTTTGAAACCCTGCAGCTGGTCCAGTTTTTACACTTCCTGATACAGTGATGCACAGATTCTAGCCGCCATAGTTCTCTGTACAGCCCCTACTTCTACTTTTGATGTTGCACTTCAGTCCTTCTGGTTGAGTCGAACATAAACAGGACGACCCCACTAAATGTTCCACCTCTTCGCTGTGAATCACCAGCCTCTCCCCTTTTGCTGTCTGCTCGCCATCTCTTGTATGTGGTGCTTGATGTGCGTGTTGAAGTGTCGGTGTACGGTGGCCCAGTAGTGACACACCTAGACAAGAGATCCACAGCTCTCAGCTGACCCCAGAGGATGTTCATACATTGACCAAGCATATCAGAGCTTGTTGGACTGTGAGGAGCAAAGAAAACCCCCTGCTGTCTCACACACACACCCACTCTAAATAACAGCTTTTTAAAGTAAAAACGTTTAAAAAAATATAATAAACATATTTTCAACTCTGTAGCTTTAGTACTAAAGTTTTAAATCAAGTGTGTTTTGTCTGTTTGTACAGTTTTTTTTTTGTTTTGTTTTTCTTGAGTACGTATCATGTTTGTTGCCAAATTGTGGCCTACATACTTAAAAGTATATTCCATCCCTCTCACCTGTTAAAGCGGTTACCATAGATACCAGCTTTTAGGCGCCGTATCGTCTGATTGTAATTAACACTCAAGTATTGCAGCAGAATATCTGTGCCGTTCCATCATCTAAAAAGGTCAAAACGAGCCGCTTACATCTTTTGCACCCGCATTCAGTGTTAATGGATCCAAGAAGTTCTAGATTTTGTTGTTGATCATCGTTCATATCCAGTGCAGTGATGGATCTTTGTCTGGCAGATCTGTTTTGAATGTGTTCTGAATGTTATCAGCCATACCTTTTACTTGCCCTCTTTTGGGTCAGCAAACAATTTTCAACCTCTTTCGCTGTAAATATCAGAGATGATTGGATCTTTTTCTGCCGTGCAGTTGACATCAGTTGCCCTAACTTACTCTAAAAGCCTGTTTTTCTGTGATCTTTTTAATAAAATCTGTAATCAGTTTATGAACTAATGTTTTTTGCATTTTTTTTCGTATGCCTCCTGCTGGTTAAAAGATTAAACAATGTAATAGCTTTAAAATATTGACATGATTTGTACGAGCAGGGCTGGTAAATATGACAACAGTGGGTCCAAAACCTCTATGAAGGGACATCTGGATCGGATGGCATGAAAGCTGCAAATATTTCAGATTTTTTTAAGATAATCTAAAGAGAGGCTAGTAAGAGACCCCACAGTAACTGGAGAAGCTGCAGACATCCACAGCTCCGAGTCCGGCACACAGGGAAATCTGCTGATTTTGTGGAGGGATGCAACAGGAAGAAGTAAAAGCCATGGATGCACGGCACAGAGTGTGATCAGCCTGCAGGACTGCATAGGTGGAATGGAGGCCCAGACTGCTTCATTGAGCTGCCTTCAGGTCATCTGCCTTTTTTGGGTCTGGTGATTCTTTTTTATCTTTTTTTTTGCAGTAGCTTTTCTGTGCAGGTTTTCTGTGGGAAAATAAAATAAGAATCCCTATCCAGCCTGTCAGCATGAGGTGCTCTAGAATTGATGTGGCTGCATTGAGTGTAGTCTTCGAAAAACGAGTAGGCAACACTGCTCAACCAATGAAGGATGCTGATCTTTAAAAAAAGGATTTTGCACAACTTGGCAACAGCTCAGTTTCCTTTCTCCTTAAGACGGGTAAAGAAAGTACTTTTGACATTGTTGGTTCAGTAGTATCTTGAAACAGGGCTTGAAAAATTAATAGGCTCTATGCACAACTCCACTACTTCTTGAATTTAAAGCAGCTCCTTTGTTTCCTGTCTTTCATGATTGGATGCACTGATTAATCCAGGTGTGTATGACCTAAGTAACTGGCCAGACACACCTGGATTAATCAGTTCGTCCAGTAATGAAAGACAGGAAACAAAGGAGCTGCTTTAAATTCAGGAAGTAGTGGAGCTGTGCATAGAGCCCATTGAATCTTCTTTAGGATTTGTCTAAGTTGCTCTAATGTGCACTGACTCCAGCCCCAGATTAAACAGATTTACAATGACAAGGCTGTAGTTCTCCCTGCTACTGGTGCTCCTCCTGTCTCACTTCTTCCTTCCACTGAATCTTAATATGCTTGGATGATAACCTCTGAACCAGTCTCTTCAATGAATGCAGACGCTCATTGCTGATAATCACTTAAGTCAGTCTTCCCCATGATGGTCCTGTACTGATCCAGACGGAGAGGGTCAGGAAATCTTTGCAGGTACTTTGAGTTAAACAGCGGATTAGGATGTGACATGTTTCCAATATTTATTTTTCACAGTATTATCATTTTGAGTCACTGAAATAGAGATTTTCATATCTTTTAGACACAATCATAAGGGAAGAATCGGATTTACAGCATCTGTCTATTTTATATATCACTGAAATAAACGGCAAAAAATATTAAACTCTTACACAATTTTTAACATTTTTAGATGTACATGTATAGGGAAAAACAACCCAGCATGATGCTCTAAATCATCATTCAGCTTAGAACTTCAGATTACAGTAAATTTAATCTAGGAAAACCAGATTAGATAGAAAATATGGCTAGAAATACAATCTACAGTGATGTTTTATTTTACAGTGGGTGCTGGAGAAAGAAGGCACAGTTTAGACTTTTATGACCTTAAGTGAAAGAAACATTTGTGTATTTTAAAAGGAAAAAACAAAACAGTACACTGACACTGAAAAATTTATAGAAGGAAAAAAATATATTTTTAGCTAAAATTGATTTAGTGTTACTGGTTTTGTTCAAAAAAAAAAAAAAAAAAATAGCCAACAAGCTTCTGACACCCATAAAATTCACTTCCAACTGTTTGATAATTCAGATCCAGATTAAATCATTCTTGGTTCTATATAAGGGCATGAGCACTGTGGAAAAGTGAGATGAAAAGTAACGAAATGAGGGAAAGCTTGTGACCCTGGAGTGGTAAACAAATGTGACAGCCATCTGCTTGGCCGCTTTCCAGAGGAGCTCCTACAGTTCATCTGAACCAGAAAACAAAAACAGGCACTCCGTGCAGCCGGGCGGATCAGAAGGGCTTCAAAGAGGAATGTTGGCATGCTTTTTCCACGGGTTGACTTGTTTCTTACTGGCCAGCACCTCCAGATCGCTGCAGATCTTCTTTCGGGTGGACGAAGGCTCAATGATGTCATCGACAAAACCTAGAAGGAGCAAAGTTCAAATGGAGGAATGTTTGTTTTCAACACATAAGCTGGAGGTACAGATGGCAGATTTACCTCTGACGGCTGCTGGGAAAGGATTGGCAAACTTCTCCACGTATTCAGCCTCTGCTTCGGCCTGGTTTTCCTTTCCTCTGAATATGATCTGAACAGCACCCTGTAAAAACGAAGCAGTGAGAGGACAACAAGAAAAAAATATATGAAACCAAATCAAACAATAGGGACAAAAGACTAATATATCTTCACCTTGGCACCCATGACAGCAACTTCCGCTGTTGGCCAGGCATAATTCACATCTCCTCTTAAGTGTTTGGAGCTCATCACATCATAGGCTCCTCCATAAGCCTGAAATGGGACAGATTACAGTATTTAAGCTCTTAACATTTATCACCCTGCATAAATGATATAGAAATAAGTCAATATTATATTAACTGTATTTACCCTTAACTTAAGTGGGTAAATAAGATAATTTGCCAACGGAGTGAGATTTTTACACTTAAAATAAGATAATACGCACTTGGAATAAGACAATGCAATTGTTTTTTTTTCTTATTTTAATCGTAAATTGTCTCGTTCCACTGGCAAAGTTTCTCACTTACCTCCTTAATTCAAGAAAAAAAATATACTTATTTTAAGAAAAAATTACTTATTTAGATTTCAATTCAGCAGACATTAAATATGAAACCTTGAAAGCCACGGATTGAAAGAAAAATTAATAATGGAACAAAAGAAGCAGGAAAAATAAGTGGTAGATTGATGGAGAAACAAGTTGACAAACAGACAAAATGACAAAACCCTGGTGGGGAAAAGATGAGCACAGTAAGGATAAGCTGAAAAACCAAGGCCAGAGAAGGTGGATTTTTTATTTTTTGAGTTTTTATGCTACTAGTGGCTCGTTTTTTTAATGGTAGGCCGACAGGAAAGGGGATATGAAAGAGGGGAATAGACATGCGACAAAGGACCACAGGTCAGATTTGAAATCGGGTCATGGGTCGTGTGCACTACACACCTTCCTGGTGATGACTGTGATTTTTGGCACCGTGGCCTCTGCATAGGCGTACAGCAGTTTGGCTCCATGTCTGATGATGCCTCCGTACTCCTGGGCGGTACCTGGTGGGAACCATTGCTGTATTTTAAAGGGATCTCTGTACATTTTACTTTTACTTTGCACTAATCCTCTTCTATCCCTCATGTAGTACGAGGGATAGAGGATTTTCCAAAAATCATCTGTTGGTATTATAAACGGTAGCCATCTATTTCTTCTTTTCTTTGCTTTCTAGTCCAATGTAAATTGGCTTTGGCGGGTGGGCATTATAAGCTTCTTGCTTCTGCCAAAACACCCTTTTTCAGACTGTTTTAATTTATGTTATATGGACATATGCTGTCTTTATTATATACTTCTATGTCTGAAATAAGCAAACTAATCAGGTTTCACAAAAGTACCTGGCAGAAAACCTGGAACATCCACAAAAGTGATGATGGGAATGTTGAAGGCGTCACAGAAGCGAACAAAACGGGCCCCTTTGACCGAGGAGTTGATGTCTAAACAACCTGATGAACAAGAGAGAAGCGTCATGGACTTAAGAACCAAATCTTCAATTTCAGCGTCCTTGTTTGTTTCTACTCACCAGAAGCTACTTTGGGCTGATTACCCACAATCCCTACGGTGCGCCCATTCATTCTGGCAAATCCCACCACAATGTTTTTAGCATAGTTGGGCATGATCTCAAAGAAGTCCCTCTCATCCACTATCTGAGGAGAACCATATGAAAAGCTCTTTACTTTTAAGCCTTCATTAAACGACACATATTTACCCATTTAGTGTGCGGACATACAGCGTGGATGATGTCCAGCATGTCGTAGGCTTTTGTTGACTCAAACGGGACGATGGTGTCCAACGATTTCACCAGACGATCACTGTAAAGAAAGAACGTGGTATAAAATGTTTCTAGTGTAGCTTTGTTGGGCAGCTTCAGTAAGGTTGAATCCCAAACCTCTCCCTGACCACTAACCCTCAACTATCAAGTGTCACTACCAGTGAAGTAACACTCACAGCTGTGGAAGCCACCTAGATTGTAGGTGGGGGGTATAAACGTGAATGGGACGGCCGCTTTCATCCAACAGAAAGGGAAAGCAGCCGTTCCTAAGGTAACACAGTGACGCCACGTGTGTGGCTGTAGCTCTGTGACGCAGGTTAACATCAAACGTTCGCCATTTTCTTAAAAATAAATCCAGTCAATCAAATGAACCTATTTCAAAGAGGACCTTCCATTTAGGGATTTAATGACATATTTTTTTCTTTTTCCTAACTTGTGATTTCCTGCCAGTTAGGCAAAGATGCATCAAACCGGCAGAACTTCATTTGAATGCACATTTCCTCTGGCACTAGTTCGGCGTACACTTGCTGCCAAATTCCAGCAAGAGTGCACTGATGCAGAATTACTATATCGGACTGAATGGTTCACTCGCCAGACCCACTACATGCTTTGGGACAGCCCTTAATGTGGCGGACCCTTCGCGGGAATGTGCAAACAGTGCATTAGTTCTTAGGGTTAGTGTTTAGGGGCCGATTTGGGATTCAGCCTAAGAGTCTTCACAGCGAGATCCTGCCATGGATAAAACACACAGAAACAACGTAAGACCTGAATTCAGTCGAGAATGAGGCCAACATTCTGATTAGATTGTGTTCATCTGATATAACAAAATCAAACTGCCTGAGTTCAGGGATGCAATAGGACACAATAAGGCAACTGAATTGGAAAAAATATCCTTCAGGTCATAAGATGCTGGTACACCACAGCGCAGATGAGTGAGGAAGAGGAGTTTATTTCAGAAGCACCTCAAAGCTCAGAGAACCAGGGCGAACACTGAGGCCAAAGCCATGTTTCTACCAGGAGCAAAAATGAAAAAAACAACTAACGGCGAAGAAGTCCATTCAAAAACTAGCAGCTTGTTAGACAGAGACCTGTTCAATATGGCCGTCAGAAGGTTTACCCCATACAAAACGCAACTTCCAGCAGGGAAATAGGCTGGATCTGGAGACAACTGGTTGTGAACACGCACAGAGGATATGGAAGTAAAGAACTCAGTTTGACGTGTTTCAGGGCGTTACTGATGATGAAAGGGGGCTGGTCTCAGACTGATCACAATTTAGACATTTGTGGTCAATATGGACAAAAAAGCTAGAAGCGTTTTTAGAAGCGAGCAGAGAGATTTAACAAATACCAGCCAAGGTATAAAGAAGGGACGGCTTTCTAGACACACTGGAACCATCAAGCAAAGCCAGAAAGCTGGAAGTGAAGAGGACTTTGCAGCAGCCAACAGATGGAGTTACCAGGCAAACCTGGCCTGCTACATTTGGTAGTTATTTAGACGATTATTTAATATCAGGCGACACTGTTACAGGGCAGCGCACCCTCTCGCTTTCCACTGATAATCCACAACCCCTGTGAGAAGAGTTTTTATCCCATCTAATACAAGGTCAGTAAAAAGAGAATAAAGGAGGTATTTTACCTGGGGTCATGGCACTCCCTTATGGGTGCTGGATCTTGATTACTAAGTGGAAGGAAGTTGAAGAACTCACGAAGGTTTAGTAAAGCCTCAACGTCGTTCTCAAACGCGCGATGAGCCACACCTGAGCACAGCAAACATCATATTCTTTATAGGCTTAAAGCATTACAGAAATATGATTGGATGAGTCCGATGGATGTAGCTAAGGCACTTACCAGAGACTGTGGTGTGAGTTTTGGCCCCACCGAGCTCCTCCTGCGTCACGTCTTCATTCGTTACAGACTTCACCACGTCTGGTCCTGTGATGAACAGGTATGACGTGTCCTATATAGACGTGTAAGAAGAGGGTGGAAGAAAGGAAAATGAGCTTCTTAAGCTGAAATAAGAGTGGATAAAGAATATCCATCTATCTCCTGGATTAGCACCCAGGCTAACTTGGAGATTACAGTTATATTCATCCTGTCTAATTGAGAGTAAATTAGAGAAAATCAATCTTTCATTTAAATAGAGGCATCCAACATGAGTTTATTTATATTCAACAAAGATATCTTTTGGATAATCAATATCATTCCACTCTGAAAGAAAAAAAATGTCCTGAAACATCTTACACCAGTCTAATGTATGACCCCAATCATACCTTAACCATGAAGGTGAAATCTGTCAGGGCAGGGGAATACACGGCTCCTCCTGCACAGGGGCCCATGATGAGGGAGATCTGAGGGACGACTCCTGAAGCCAAAACATTCCTCTGGAAAACGAGAACAGCTCATATTTTTAAAATCTCCCTTAACCCCTGAAAGACCAGGAGGTCCACTTCCTTCTGAGGAAGAGTTTAAAGCTTCCAAAATAATAAATAGAAGTCAAGAGTAGCGCCAGTGTGGTCCAGTTTCTCTGACTTTGACTGGCTAGGTGTGCTCTCTTCATCCTTTGATATGGGAGCTGGCTCGGAGCTCGTCTGCCTGGCTGTGTGTTTCCTGGACAGGGCCATCTGTGGAGCTGGTTTACAGTTGCCTTTTGTATCTCTGCTTCTGTCTTCTTGAACCCCAGTCAGCATTGGCAAAGGGTTACTCGCACGGAGTCTTGTTTCTTCCTGTTTAAAAAGAGTTTTTCCTCTCCACTGTCACTACAAGCATGCTTAGTGTGAGGGATTGCCTTTGAGTCAATGAGTCTATCTAATAAATTGGTTTTACTTAGATAGAAAACTTTGAATCAATTCGACTGTGTGATCTGGTTGAATTGTAAAGTGCCTTGAGATGAAAGGTGTTGTAAATTGCTGCTAAATAAATAAACTGAATTGAATATGGTCTAAAGGTCATTTGCACATCACACCATTACTCTGAGGTTTAATTTCTGAGTAATGACTCTAATAACAAACAATCAAATAAACAAACCAGAAATATATCTGCATATCCGGCCAAGGACTCTACTCCCTCCTGGATCCGAGCTCCTCCTGAGTCATTTAATCCGATAACAGGAGCCCCAACAGTCATGGCCTGATCCATGATCTGAAAGCAAAATAAAACAAGTGTTAGTGCCAACAGCCTATAATTGCAAAGCTGGGAAAATAGTGTTTAATGGTGCACAAGGGTGGTTGATTACCTTACAGATCTTCTGAGCATGAGCTCCCGACAGGCTGCCACCAAACACTGTGAAGTCCTAAAAAAAAATAAAAAATAAAAAAAAAATAAAGGAGGCAAATCAGGATAGACCCAACCACCCTGGTATTGCTACCCAGATGTTTTCCAGCACAAGTTCCGTCTTCTGTACCTGGCTGAACACATAAACCAGCCTGCCGTTGATCCTGCCTCGGCCAGTCACAACACTGTCACCAGGAAACTAAAAAAAACAAACATATATATATATATATATATATATATATATATATATTATGCAGTTAAAAACAAGTTTTTTCCTCATTTGCATTGGAGTTTTCTGAAATCTATCCACTACCTTGTTGGCGTCCTGCTCCATGCCGAAGTCAGAGCAGCGGTGCTCCACAAACATGTCCGTCTCCACAAAGGACTCGGGGTCCAGTAGGAGCTCCACTCGTTCCCTGGCCGTCAACTTACCCTGCAGCAAATCAGTACAAGCATTTAACTAAACCTCAAAAAGACATTAGAGGCATGGAGGATATAATCTACAGTTACGCAAGAAGCTGGATTCAATGGAACAGACAAAAAAAAAGGGCAGGAAAGGTCATCAACAATGACTTTGTGGAACCACTACTACCTAACATGTAAATGTTTGTCTACCATCTTCCTTCAGTACTAAGTGGCTTATGTCACTGCTGAAGAAAATAATTCCCACAGCATGATACTGCCACTCCTGTGTATTCATTGGGATTCCTTATGGCTTTAGTTTATTTACTTTCTTAGATTCTTTGTAGCTCTGCCAGTGCTGCAATGAACCTCTAAATCTTTTTTGCGGTTATAATAACTAATAAAAGATTCTAATAAGATATATTGGGCAGGCCTAATTGATCAACATTAAATTAAATGAAGAAGCCCTCGCTTTCTGTAATCGCCACTATAGACAATCGCTGGCTCTTCTTTAGAGTCTTTGGAATTAAATACTGCAGGCTTTCCATGTATTTATAGTATACAGTCTTTTGTGTTGTTCTATATATATTGTTACTTATAATACTGTAATAACCAGATATGTTTTGTAAGCATATCCATGTCTATATGCATAACTGAAAAGAACTCTTTTGATTATGTGAGGTGAGCTAGGTTTCTTTTTGCTCTTTGTGTGTGTTTGCTAACTTTACCTTTTTATGTTGTGCATCTATTCTCTTCTGACCTCCCCCGATTAGCGCCGCCTTCCGTTTCTGCTCGATCCTCTCCTTCACGGACAGGTGACTGACCGAGTACCAACGACGGTCCGGCAGGAGAGCGGACTTTGGTGACGACGCTGCTGCTGCGCCATGTTTTATATTTGCAAAATTTCTGAAGGAAACCCTCAAACTGCTAAACAACCCGCCACTACTACGAGCCACAGTGAAGGCCGCCATCATGCCTGTGAGACGTATGTGACGAAGGCGTGACGAGCCGGAAGGATGGGAATTTTAGCCAATGGTGTGGTGAGGGGTGGGTTCGACTAGCCAATCAGAATGCGGTAGGGAATGGGCGGGGTTTTATATGAAAAAGGTGGGACGTCATGTAGTACGAACCCTTGAACATAAACGTTGTTTATTCAAATATATTTCTGGTTTGTTTGTTTTGTATTATAAGTGCTGGTAACTTATTCTTGATAAGTTTTATGTCAGAATGACCCCAATATAACCCCAGTTAACATCTGTATTTACTAATAAAACCGCTGGAGTAAGTCAGACGTAATTGTTATAATTTGTATTTTATTTTATTTATTTTCACGGGGCAGTTCCTCATATCAAAAACCTGTCTGTCTCTGTCTATCTAGCGATGAAAAGCAAAGTCTGAGCAGTTTCAGTTACGAAATAAATCCTGTGTTCTAAATCATACCTTGAAGTCAGTTGGGAGAAAATCAGTGCTAACAAGTGCGGGGGGAAAAAGACTCAGAAAATATCACTTTATCACAAGATTACATAAAAAATGTGTTAAAAAGGCTGCATTTATCATAGGATGAATGGTTTCAAAATCAGCAGTATTCATTTTCCATTCTGGGTACTGATAATGATTGTAAATATCTCATCCTCGATGCACTTAAAACGGTTTGTTATTAAAAAAAACTACTTTGGATAATATTTGTTGCAGGATACATTACTTGTTTCTACGGAGCCCCTAAAGGGACATGGAGGAAAAAAAAAACTTTTGCGAGATCTCGCAAAAGTATTGCGAGATCTTGCAAACGTTTTGCGAGATCTCGCAAAAGTATTGCGAGATCTCGCAAACGTTTTGCGAGATCTCGCAAAGTAAAACAGATGTCCTGATTCACACTCCTTGCTGGTTAGTGGCGGTATTGCACCACATAGTTGTTTGCCAACCGCCATTAAATAGAAGAAGAAGAAGAAGAAGTAAACAGACACAAAACAATGGAGGCGCAAACAGATCATCCATGGGAGAAGTTTATTCATTTCTATTTTAGTATTGGCCTGACATATAAAGACATCAAATCCGTACTTGGATGTAGACATGGATTCGACATTAGTGAGAGACATTTGAAAAGATTACTCAGGGCGAGGGGACTTTCTCGTCGTAAAGAATACAGTGATCTTGCGGTCCTGGTGGAATTCATCAGTAACGAGCTACAGTTCTCTGGTCAGCTTCATGGGTACCGGTGGATGTACGCAAAGTGCAGAGAGCATGGACTACTCGTTAAGAAGGAGGATGTGAGGTTGGTGCTGAAGGAGCTAGATCCTAGAGGAGTTTCTTTAAGGCAAGCAAGACGCCTAAGACGACGGAGCTACTTTTCGAGAGGGCCTAACTTCATTTGGCACATGGACAGCTATGACAAGCTGAAGCCATATGGCTTTTGTATCAACGGAAGCATTGACGGTTTTTCGAGAAAAATCATCTGGCTTTCTATACCACGAGTAGTGACCCCAAGTTGATTGGGGGTTATTACGTTGATGCAGTCCAACGTTTAGGGGGCTGCCCTAGGATTGTGAGAGGCGATTTAGGGACTGAAAACGGCCATGTTAGAGGCTTTCAGCGGTTCCTCGTCCCGTTTCATCCAGACGGCACTGTTGATAGCTACCTGGAGGGAGCAAGCACCGCCAATCAGAGGATCGAGTGTTGGTGGGGTTTTCTGCGAAACCAGTGCGTGGAGTTCTGGTTATCCTTGTTTGCAGACATCAGAGACACTGGATATTTTGACGGCGGGTTTCTGGACAAGGCTATCCTTCAGTTTTGTTGCATGGGACTGATCCAGGTGAGTTTTGTGTTTTGACGTAAATGTGTGTGAGACTGAGGAGAGAGAAAGCTGGAGGGAGCAGGGGAGAGGAGAGAAAGAAAGGCCAATTTTGGATACGTTTTTGAACTATTTTAAGTTTACATGTATGTACAGTTCCTCCTAAATGTATTTTGTGTATTTTTAACAGGATGAACTGGAGGACACTGTCCAAGTTTGGAATGCACACACCATCAGACCATCGAAAAACATCAGTGTCCCCAGTGGTAGACCGAATGTGATGTATGCCTTGCCTCAACTCTATGGGACCAGAGACTTTCTATCCCTTGTTGAAGATGAACATATTCAGTTGTGCAAAGACGAATGTGTTTTTCGGCAGCTGATACCATGTGATCCAGATGTGTATGGACTATGCAACATCTTAATGTCGGAGTCACATCTGACTCTACCAAGAGATCCTTATCAGGCTGTGAACCTGTACAGGCACCTAAGAGAGGCCATCACTGCAGCTATTTAAGTCAGGAATATTTAAAATGCCCTGTAGGGGAACAATTAATACCAAACCATTTTAATAGCTGATTATTCATTTAAATTATTTTTTGTTAACATTTCACAAAATGTTTTCTATGTCTTAGATGTAAATAACCATCAGTATCAGCCTGTGTGCAGTGACAAATTAATAGTGAAGATACAGTATCTGTGAATAAAGCCACACATTTTAATGTTAGTGTAGCGGAATTCTTTTTTAATTTTTCTGTATGTAAAACATTTACAAACATTTGAAACCCTGAGGTAATGTAAACTTTGCCAAATCTGACTAGTTTGTCAATAAAAAAAAGTTATACAAACATTCAAGGTCACTTCTTGGGCAAATGCACTCACATAAAAAAATACATGTGATAGCATGAAGTTACAGTAGTACATTAGATCAATATGATGGAAACATTGTAATAATTCAGAAGGGCATATTACACAGACAAACTCAGCTTATACATTTTGTAAACAGGAACACTGGATAGATATCTTCGTATTGAGTTTTAAACTGCTTCTGAATAAGCAACTAACTGGCATGACTTCAAAAGGAACAATCACTAATTCTACCAGTGATTAACAATTCTGTAAATAACAGAATATCACCCTTATATGCTTTTAAGAAAAGAAGTCCAGCATAGAAACTGGGTTAGATTTAAAATAATCAAACAGAAAGCTGCAGTCATTTTCAAAGTATAATTTAAAATATAAAATCTGTTAAAAAATGGAGGTGTATTATTGCACCAGTAAAACAAATAAAGTGCATGCTGAAAAGGAAATGAGACTGCTTATCATGATGTCAGTGCATCAGATGTTTAAATGACAAAACATAAATACATAAATAAATGATTATCAACCATACCATGAGGCCAGTTACTTCTTGGCCTAGTTAAACCTGGTCCCACATTTAAATGATGTCCATTTCTAAGTAATTGCTGGACAGGATATTGTCAAACTCTGTCCGAAATTCTGGGTAAGAACTGTATGTACATGGCACATCAATTGTAGCTCCACAGGTATGAGCAACAGGCCTTCTGTTGAGGCCAGTTTCAGCATTAAAGCTAACCATAATCTTCTCAACACATATAACTGAGGAACCTGTGCAGAAGCGTAGGATTTTCTCAGCTTTTGCTTGATCAGCATTTTTCACATAACGTTGGAGATGGTTTAAGGTTGTTTGTTCTCTTTGAGACAGCACCACCTTATTAGTTTCAAGCAATTGCATTACTCTTTTGCCCGTAGGCTTCTTTAACTCATAAACACTCAACACACTTTCCTTATCTGGTAGTTTAAACCTCACAAGTGACATGGGTGTGGAGAGGCAATCTACAATAAATTTGGGCTCTTGGAGAATTGCTTTGTGTGCCATTAGTTCTATGGCAGGCTTCATGTTGTTCTCTGGAGGTAGGAAATGGGAACCCATCCGTGTGAAAAGGTCAAGCAAGTCCTCTTGATCACTTTCATCCAGTGTTCCCTGAAGAGCCTTCTCAACAGCTGATCTCTCAATGGGAGGGAGGTAGTTGAGAAATGATGACATCAGGATGTCTGTATCAACATGGTCAATTCCATTGATGCATGCTAAAATAAAAGCCATTGATAGCTTTACTGGCATAACACCATGATCTACAAATCCTTTAACCCAAATCCGTCCAACTGCTTGCCATTCCACTCAGAAAAATCTGGCCTAAGCCTTGGAACTCGCTCTGTTTCTCCTTCACACTGTTCAAGAAATTGCTCCCAGAAGGCTGTGTACACCTCCCTAGACACTCCGGCATCATCAATAGCTTTTTCGTTGACAAAGTCCATCTTTAAAGTCATATTCAGGATGCTGCGGTCAGTAAATACAGGCAAAAGATCATCAACAACCTTTATCCTGCAAACTGAAGCACGCCGTGTGGTCTGGGGACTTCCTGGGTTGCTGTCTGTTGGCATGTGGCTGCTTGAATGAGAGGGCAAATTGAAATTTAGCCCACTGTCCAGCTAGAAGAACAAAACACACAATTAAAAATCAGAATTGTCAAAGAATAAAGCAGAGGCCAAAGTATCCTAAATTTTGGCATATTTGTTAGAAGGTTACTGATTACCAACTAGGTTATCTATGCGCCTAAGATGTCATAATGTAAAAACAATGTTATTCATGTGAAGATACCTGGCAGTGGAGTCACACCAGAGTATGGTGTTTTCAGACGTCAACTAGAGCGCACCAGAGTTCGGCTAGAGCTAAACTGAGACCATCTCTTCAGGCGGCACTAGTTTATTAAGCATTAGAGTGCGATTGTGCTATCATACTGTGTCAAACTGGACCATATTTAAGTCAATCTAAATTTAGATTGACCTAAAGATCGAGGTGAGAAAAAACACCCTAAGATAAGAATTCCTTTAATATCACAAATTAACAAAATTTGGGTTCTAACAAAGCTTAAAACTACAGCCTATTTCTGTAAAAAATGCTTTATTGGATTTATATCACATTTGTAATTAAAGTGAGAATGCATCAAACATTAGAAGATATTGGGAGATATATTGGAAGATATTAATTTATTTTATTTACTTCTCTGATTTCTTTTTCACCGACGATTTTTATTTCTCCCCACTAGGGGGTTCTGTAGCACCCTCAGCCCCCTGGGGCCTTCATCTCAAGCATATTTTTATGAGACCATGTTACAAACTGCACCCCTTCTCACACTGGTTTCTGTTCAAAATTTGTGATCTCCTACCACAATAATAGTTAACACTGATGACATCAATTTGTTTGAAGTGGTGTGTCTTACCTGGGCAGCTTGCACTGCTTCCTCGTGTATGGACTGCTGCTCATCCAGGTTAAGCAGGCCATCACCTGAAGGGAGTAGAAGCTCTATCACCTGTGTAGGAGCACCACCCAACTCTGTCCTCTGAAGAATACAATAAAAGACAGCAGATACATTAACCCTAAAATCAGATTTATTTTCAAAAAAGTTTTTCATAATTACTTTTGTGCATGAGCATAACTTCCAGTCAACATCAGGAACACTCCAGACAATGTTAAGAAGTCCACTTAGGTTTTAGGATAAAAATTAAAATATTTTACATATTAGAGACATAACAGTACAATAAAGTTATAAGTCAAAGATAAAATTGCTGCACAATTCTAGTAATTAGACGAAAGGACTTAACTGACTCCCAATTTCATTAAATATAAAAATTAGTATTTGTTTTTAATACCCCATCAAACATGTGATATTAAAATTCAAAACATCCATCCATCCAACCATTTTCTGACCCGCTAAATCCTTCATGGGGTCGCTGGGCTCTATCTCCAGCATTCACTGGGTGAGAGGCGGGGTTTCACCCTGGACAGGTCGCCAGTCTGTCGCAGGGCAACACATAGACACAGGACAAACAACCATTCACGCACACACTCACACCTAAGGACAATTTAGAGGAGCCAGTTAACAGTCATGTTTATGGACTGTGGGAGGAAGCCAGAGTACCTGGAGACAACCCATGCATGCACAGGGAGAAAATGCAAACTCCATGCAGAAAGACCCAGGATTGGATTTGAGCCCAGAACCTTCTTGCTGCAAGGCAACAGCGCTACCCACTGTGCAACCCCAAAATGTATATCTTTATTAAGAAATTGTAAACAAAATATTACCTGTGTGTCATCCTCATCAACATGTTTTAAATTGATAACCACCACATCATCGTCCGAATCCCACACAAGTGTATCTGCCTCGTCAAACAAGGGGCCCGGTTCCGGTAAAGTGACGTCACTCGTGTTTTCTCTTCCGTCAATGCTGCTATTTTTTATGTCTGTTGGGGTTGACTGAAAGGGATGTGATGGACCTGGACTTTGTGCTGTCTCATCCTCAGATATTTTCCTTAACCTTTTTGATCTTTGTTGCATCTGAAAACAAATCAAAGACACAGTGCTTTAATTTCTTCAGTAGTAATCAAAAAAATAAATGCTGTGTAACAATACATGTTAAAACACAAAATCTATTAAAGGGGTGGTTGAACATACTGACAAATTGACCTATGTAATAATACTTAGTCATATGAATATGACTATTCCCTTCATTCAGCAGCACCTGACGTTTTTTGAACCATGAAGCAGCTCAGTAAACACAATGGAGGTGAACGCACGTTCCTCAAAACTTAAACACATCATCCAACAACTACAATACTTACCTCACTGTATATATAGATGGACAATTGTAATAAAGTTAGGGACAAGAGTCACTAACTTTATTAGTGACTCTTGTCCCCTTAACATCTGTCCATGTCAGTATCGTTATATTATTTATTACAAATATATGTGCATATACCTGGGCGCTTCCGTCACTATCAGTTGAATATGAACTATCCTGCAGATCTGTGATGACTGACTGAGATCCATCTTCAAACTGACCATTTTCCTCAGATGAGTGATCTTTTGGAGCTCCCTCTTTAGTACAGATGTAAAATCTGAGAAGTTTTAGTTTAGTTTGTTCATACATTTGGCCAACAGTGTGATTAAAGGGAATCTTGTTCCTTTTAAAATCGCAGATGTCAAACGTGAAGTCTTCAGCTCGCCCTTTTGTGGACTGCCCATCAGGAAAAAATAGTTCTTTTCCTAATTCCATGATCTGAGCAACAGTAGCTGTTTTTGCCATTGTAGAATGTCTCGTGCCTCCCCCACTGTTGGTCCGTACTTGACTGTATCCATTAATGCCAAAATGAAGCCATCAATTTCAACCTTTCTTGAAGCCTTCTCTCCTGCCCTATTTCTTTCTCTGGCCATGGTATTTTGGAGTTCGTCTGGGGTTCCACTCGGTGATCCTCTTGTCTTTGATTTCATTTTGCGTGCCCCTATTTTATATTTCAATCTCTCTAAAAGAGTGTCTTTACTGATGCTTTGGCACTGTGTTTGTTCACAGAAAGATAGCACAGCTACTCTATCACCATATGTGTTTATGTATTTTGACATTTGCTCATCACTCATGATGCGCAACACTGCTTTGTCAACCTGCAAACAGAAGAGAGAAACACTAGTGTCAGTACAGTGCATTGTATCTATTTTGATGAATCAGAATTTTTTTTTATACTTTGCTTATTAAGATGCATCAAGACAATCAGAAATCTAGTTTAGTGCAAATTACATGCCATTTATGTATTCCCATGTATTAACTTATTCAGTGTAGTTGCAGATTGTTCTAGAAAAAGTTTTAAAAGCCCTATAAAATATACTGTGTTAGCATTCGTTCTGACACAAGTCAACTTTTGTGCATTAAATAATTTCATTAATCACTGCAATTAATGCACCATTTAATTTGGAAGATGAGGATTCCTTGATTCAGCATGGAAAAATTAAAAACTTCTGTGGTTGACGTTCTCCATTTCATGGCACAAAAACATTGTGCGTCCAGGTTATCTCAACCTGAAAAAAGCGAAAACCTGACCCTGTGTGAGTTAAGCTATATAACTAAAACTCCACCTATAACCAAGTATCTTATAGACAGGTATAGATTTATCTATGAATTTGCATACACAACCCATTTATGAATGAATGCATTTAATCAATTTATCCTTATGGTTAATCATTTAAAATAAATATTTAATTTGCTAACTTGAATATCAATTATTCAAATTTATTTGAAATGTACTCTACATTAATTAATGTATGTTTCAGAAAGGTAGTCATCCTAATAAAGTAAAAAAAAAAAGTGTCACAGACCTTTATATAGTCGTTAGTTGTTATTTATTTTATAGTTTTACTCTGATGCTTGATAAAATAGTCAAGAAATGCAGATTGGAAAGGATTCCAACTGCTTGCAAGGTGTACTTTGCTAAATAAATTCAATTCGATTAAATTTTATTTATATAGTGCCAATTCATTAAAACATGTCATCTTAAAGGAATAGTACACCCAAAACATGATTAGCCTTCATTTTCTACTCACTCCCATGCTGAACAACACCCTGGAGTACTTTTTTGATATCTCAAATACATCTGGAGATCTGGGAGGCTTCTTGCTGTCTGCTGACATTCAAATAATGGAGGTCTATGGTGACCGAGACAGAAAGGTCCATAAAAGTCCACAAAAAACGTGTCAATATTCCTCCATACTGCTCGTCCAATGTATTCCAAGTTTCCTGAGTGGGTAGCATCCAGAATTTACTCGAAACGAAGTCATTTAGAATGTTTTTAGAGCATAAACAGTAGTGGCTTTGCAGCAATCCCGCATACTGAGCAAGCATGAAGCGACATTACACTGTAAATAAAGCTCACCAGGACAAGCTTTGCTCTTTAAACCACCCGTGCCTGAAAACATGTCGGCTCTATTAATTTCACAAATTTTATACTATGATAAATCACTGGCAAGGAACGTTAACAAGCTGGTAATGACGATACAGGTTTTCGGAAATAAAAATCAACCAGACTTGACAGTCAACAGTATGCTCGACCAGCCAGGGAGTTCAAAGTTACCAGTTTTATCCTCTACTCAAGTTTCATGATATCATGTTAACATTGTTATTAGGCTAGTATGCATTCACTATAATTGCAAGAAAAACAATCATGCATTTCTACAATTCTACGAATAATACCAATATTAGCTAACGATAGCATACTATTCACGAAGCTATTCACTCTACTTTCGTCACGAATGCCTTGTTGCTAAATTTACGTCAGGTTATTTAATGGATTGTTTACTGACCTTGTCTCTCTTCATTCGTGTAATGTCGTCTTTTGGGACTTCTCTAGAAATTAAGAACCTCTCCAAATCGTCCTCCATGGTTGTAGCTGACAGATGGGCGTTTTATCCTTTTCGCTTTGCGCCTCCGCTGTTGTGTGTCTGGTTTACTTCCGGTTCGCCCCCGTATGTTCAATTTCCGGTTTGCCGACGTAGAAAACCTTTTTTTAATCTTTTCAAATGTCTCTCACTAATGTCAAATCCATGTCTGCAGCCGAGTGTGGATTTAATGTCTTTATATGTCAGGCCAATACTAAAATAGAAATGAATAAACTTCTCCGATTGATGGTCTGTTAACTTCTTCTTCTTCTTCTTCTTCTTCTTCTTCTTCTTCTTCTATTTAATGGCGGTTGGCAAACAACTATGTGGTGCAATACCGCCACTAACCAGCAAGGAGTGTGGATCGCAAAACGTTTGCAAGATCTCGCAATACTTTTGCGAGATCTCGCAAAACGTTTGCAAGATCTCGCAATACTTTTGCGAGATCTCGCAAAAGTTTTTTTTTTCCTCCATGTCCCTTTAGGGGCTCCGTATGTTTCCACAATTCTGGTTATAAGGACAGTAAATAATATTTCAACTCATTTTCTGATATTTAAATTAAGAAAAATGCAAGCAGTAACTGGAATATTTTTTTATTTTTTATTCTCATATCTAAATTCTCGTTGATACGCATAAATTGGATGCAACTTTAGGCTTCAACGCCACTCTGCCAGTCAAAAGCAACATTTGTGAGATTCTGCTGTCTGAAAAATAGGTTTAAGAGGCAGCTATATTGAATAATTTTATATTATATAATATATAAACAAACAGAAAGAATAGTTACTTAAAATTGCGTAAAGCAATTAATATTCAATAATTAATTAATATTCAATGCCAAAAGAATACTTTTCCTGAGCTGTAAACTAAAAAAAAATCCACAAATACAGACTTTTGTCTCATAATTTTTACTTTCAAAACTGAGTTTCTAATTTTTCTTATCCTTAATATTTTAACAATTTTATTTGTTATAATTTCTCTCAACCTTACCAAATACAAAAGAGATTATTTTTATAATTTTGACAATAAAAATATCAGGGAAGAGAAAAAAAAAGAAAAAAAAAACAGAAAGCAAAGAGGAGGATAGGGAAACAAGAAAACGTGACCGTAACCAGGGTAACTACGGCAAGTCTCGCGTGATATGCGTGCCTTTCCAGAGAGGGGCTGGTGTGAGGGAAAAGTGGTTAATCGTACGATTGATGCACTTATTAAAATACAGCAAATTAGCCATGGTTAGGTCGCCGCTTTTCACGCATTTATGCAAAGCGTACATCAACTGCAGGGCTTCGGGTTGCAGCTCGCATATTCCTTTACTGCGTGACGTATAAAACGTTCCTAGTGTGCAAGTGATACGGTTAAATCTCCGCTAGCTATGCTAATGCTAACTCCTTAGCTTTGTTTACATATATTGCGCGCCTGGTGGATAATATCCGATCACACAAATTGGAAATTTTTTGCTTTAGTTCGTTATCTGTCAACTCATTCATAAGGTAATGGCATTGCGCATTAAATAGATATCATGATCATTGCTGAGTATCAGCTATTAAAGCGTTTTGCTGAATATTAAGCTAACGTTAGCAATAACATGCTAACCTTTTTTTTTTTATCTCCGCTCGTTCGATCATGCGGTTTGATGCTAGCCGATAAGTTTCCTTAGACGTGCTTCTTGTAATGACTTGGGGTCTTATTCCTCTTACTTTATATCCATAAATTATGAACTTAAGGAATTTATTGATTAAAAAGAAAATATCATTAAACAAACTGGTGATGCTAGCTGAAGCTAGCCACCTGCTGAGCTAGCCAACATTGTTCGCTTTCAGTGAGACGTCTACAGAATGCTCATCATTTCACATTGTGTCCACAATTGATTGATATCCTAGTCTGCGTTGAGGTGGTACAGTGGCTGCTAGCTGCAACATTAGCCCTTTATTTTTATTTTTTTAATCCAAGTTGGCTGGCTGTGGATACTGTGCTTCGGACGGCGTTTCCCCCAGGTGCTGGGTAGCGCATCATTATGAATCCGGTGGACGCAACCGCGCTGTATGTGTCTGCCACCCGGGCAGTGCTGCAGTGTGACCCGCTAAATCCTCACACCTTCACAGAGATGTACAAGCAGTTACCCTTCTTCCGTCAGTCTCTGGCATGTGTTGTCTGTGGTAAGCATCCTTAATATTTATGCTAGACATTAGTCTTCCCATATATAGATTTAAAGCACTTTGTAGTCACACATTTGGGGATTTTAATCGTAATACTATGGGTAACATTGCCTTCAATTCTCGTGGGTCTGTGTGAAGATGCTGCAGTTCCCACTATTTCCCACTACTGCGGTTTCCCTAGCAACCAAGGCTGAGAGAAGCTCATCTGTCCTATAGATAAGACGGATGACTGCTGTTTTGCTCGTTGCATAGCCATGTGGTTTTGGTGAGGCAGACTGTGTGTGGTAACAAGTAGCAAAGCAAAAAATAACACATCTTAACAGGTTCTTGCAAATCTTATGAATTTATGGGGGATATAAATTAGATTTCTTTCTTTTGATAGATTCTAATCAGCGATCTGAATCCCTAAATCCATTATTTACACCAAAACTATGTTGTGGTTTGTAAAGGCATGACACGGAAAGTGCTTTGTGAATATTTGTTCTTTAATGTATAATAATTATGAATAGGAATTATAGATAAATCAATGGTGGTACCAGCCAGGAACATTTGCACCTTTTGCATATCTGGATTTAGTAGTATTTTATCAGATATGTTGGACTTAAGCGAAAAAAAAAAAAAAAACTCGAAGCGAAAGTTAACAAGCTAAAGGTTGGATATAGTGATCTACTGATTGATTATTTTTTAAAAGCCCTATCCTGTTGATACCAATCTTAGCCTCCCCTGACTTCCTTTTGAAATCCATGAAATACATTAAGAACAAGATACTACATGATTTCTACAGCACAAATATATGATTATTTTGTTTTATGAAGACAGCCTTTATAATAAAATAAACAATTGACTATCAGAGAGAGATTCCTACTAAAACTTATCACGGTTTAATAACTATTATACGTCTCAACAGAACAGCTAACATAGGTTCTTTCTACACACAGTTGAACATTTTGAAGTAGGGCTGCAGTGAAAGATTATTTTGGAAATCAATTAATGTGTCAATTATTTTTCAATTAATCAATCCGATTATAGAAGCGGATAGCAAAAGGTTCCTTATACAGACTTTTTACAAAATTACACCAGGTGAAACCAAAACTTTTCCACTTGGGGAGTTCTGGATAGAGCAAATTGGCACACACAAAATATATTTTTTTACAATTTTGGTATAATGGCTGCTCAAGGTGGGTCACTCTGTCAGCTAGATTCATGTTTTAAAGTCTCTACACTCCAGTTAAGGATTAATTGATTACTAAATTAGTTGACAATTACTTCAAGAATCGAATCATTCAATAAGTTGTTTCAGCCCCAGTTTGAAACAAATGTTTGTTTTTATTTTTTTATTAGCAATATTTGATTTTAGATTACTAAATTTTTTTTTTTAAAGCAGCTCTATTTGTTTTTTTTTAGCACGAGTGAGATGTGACTATACATTCAGCACCTTAAGCAGTCTGTCCATCTCATTTGATAATTAATTATTTATTAGCACAGCTCTCAAACTACTAGAGAATTGCTGTTTCTGAACTGAACTATCAGTATCTACAACAAGGACACAATTATCTGTCATTTTAAAGAGATTTTTGCCTCTTGTTACTTTTTCTACACATTTAGTGAGGTGAAGACATTGGGCATTAGTAAGTGGTAAAATCACACACTTTGTTTACAATTGTTACTGGACATTTAACTGACATTACAGAGGATTTCAAACGCGTCATAGCTGGATGTAGGATAGAGATGAGATGAGACAAGGCGGCTTTCCCGTTTCATTCCTTTGTTGATATCTGCATGCATGTACTGTTAACAATCTAAATACGTGTAAACAATAATTATTGTTGTTGTTTTGGATTCAGGTAAACTCCTTGAGGATCCCATTTCCCCAACACACCCAGAGTGTCAGCATTACGTCTGCTTGGGCTGCAAAGGCCAGAAGATGCAGATGAGGTCATCGTGCAGCCGCTGCAAAGACTATTCCTGCTTTCAGGAGAACAAGCAGCTGTCTTTACTGGTGCAGTGCTACAGGCAGCTCTGCCTCTATGTAACCCATTCACCACTTCTTCAGTCAATCAGCAGCCACGTGGGAGGCTCCCCAGAGGTCATGGCCTTGTTGGAGGAGGTGCTTATGTCCCACAAAGAGGAGTATGAGCATCAGGAATCAGCAGAAGAGGATGTAGGTCAGTCTGCACCTGAGTCTCTAACACCCACAGAGGCACCGCCTGCTCCTGCAGAACTCTCAGCCATTCCTCAGAGCTCCTCCTCGGAGCCTCTCTGCTTCAATGGACCGCTGGATTGCAATGGAGAAGCACTGGAGGATCCGTCTTCTCCTGAGCTGGAAGTATGTGAGGTGGTAGAAGAGCAGCAGCATCTGGGTCTGTCTGTGTCTGAAACCACTGGGAGCAGCTTCGAACTGGGTCTGAGCACTGCACCTTTAACCCCAACAATAGGCACTGTGTGCTCACTCAGGGAAGGGGAACCTAATACCAGGGAGGTGGAGGAGGGGGAAGTGTTGCTTCTCAGCGTGGAAGAGGTGTTACAAACGCTGGATCCCCTTCAGCCTGATCGAGACACTCTTCACGTGAACCCAGATAGGACGCACATAGCCACAGACAAAACGCACACTCATATGTACATACAGCTGGACGCAGCCCACAACTACACACAGATTCACACGGACAGGACTCACATGGCAGCACACCGCGCCGCTCACACGCACTCCTCTGCCTTCGAGCCTCCTCCTGCCTCCAAACCGCCACAAGCCAGGCCCACCCGGAAGCGGTCCCGTTCGGAGAGCGACAGGGAAAAGGTGAACCCTGTTCCCATCACCTCCATCCTTCAAGATTCATCTCCTCAATTACTCACTCCGAGCCCTTCACACATGCTGCATACAAAGCTTCCCATGGCTTCCCTCACCGTACCTGCGCACACATACTCATCTGTTCCCAACGGCGCGTTCCCCAAGCACAGCCGCCCCACGCAGAATCACAACAAAGGTGCCAGAAAACACGTGGACCCCAACTCTAAGAAGGCTCACACCAAGGCCCGCAGCACCGGAGG